AATGTAAACCTAGCACAGAGTTGATATGCTTAGCCTTATACGAATTCTAAATCAAGTCACTGTAAAAGCTATTTTCAACCCTGCAAGGCCTGACTCAAAGCCTTTTCTTTTACTACCTAGTTCTAAAGATCTAGACTAGACTCTTGCTAAAACTTTGACCATAAAATAACAATCACAGTAGCAGTTATTTTAGGATATTTTCTTTATTTTTATTTATTTATTTATTTACTTATTTATTTATTTTTATGTGTATGAGTGTATTGCCTACATGTATATGAGTGCACCTGTGTCGTACAATGCTGCGGAAATCAGAAGAGGGCTTCGAATTCCCCTGGAACTGGAGTTAAGAACCGTTCGTAGCCGCCATGTGGGTGCTGGGAATCAAACCTGGGTCCTCTGCAAGAACAGTCAGTGCTCTTAACCGCTGAGCCATCTCTCCAGCCCTGATTTTCTTTATTTTTATATACCATAAGAAAAAATATGTGTAACACTTCAAACAACCACTAGGCAAAATAACAGAAGATACCTCACAATAAGCACTATATGGACAGACAGACAGGACTCAGAGAATAAGACCAAAGGGCTAAATCCCGCCTGCAGACAGCTTATTTTCATTTGGTCATTGAGTCGAGTATGATTTTTACATTTTAGAAAGATTTTTTAAAACAAGCAAACAAATAAGAATATTCAACAGAGATGGTAAGAGATTGTAAGACAGTACTATCTAGTACTCTTCTAGGGAAAAGTTGTTCCAAGTTATAGAAACAAAGATCTACTCACTATACATAAAGCTTAGGGTAGAACCCAAAATGTTAAGCAAAATGAAACAGACTCAAAAATAAACACCTGGTTTTCTTTCATATGCAGCATCTTTATCTCTATCTCGGTCTGTCTGCCTGGCTGTGTAAAGCATGGAAGTAGAAGGGGGACTATGAGCAGAAGAAGGGGTGTAAAGGGCAAGGGTGTGAGGACAAGGGGAGGTGAGGAGAAGACAGCTTTTCTGTCAGATGCAGGTATAGAGCTAACTATACATGCATACAGACAGATGAGAGGAAAGCAGAAGGGCAACTTTGGGGGGAGAGGGGGACCAGCAGGAGGGGAGGGGAAAGGGTCTGGGAATGGCAGTGGAAGAAAATGAGCAAGGCACAATGTATGAAATCTATGTATGAAAATGTCGTACTGAAATCCATTATTTAATATGCTAACTAAAAGTTATAAAAACAGAACAAAAAGCCGGGCATGGTGGTACACACCTTTAATCCCAGCACTCACGAGGCAGAGGCAGGCGGATCTCTGTGAGTTTAAGGCCAGCCTGGTCTACATCGGGCTACAGGGAGACCCTGTCTCCAAAAAGACAAAAAAAAAAAAAAAAACCAGAACAAAAACAAAAGTAGATAAGCAGCTCTTTGAGAGACACGCTTCTAACTGATACAGCAGAGATGTATTCCCCAGTCCTTTCTAGACTCTTGAACTCCCAGTGGGGCTTAGCTACAATCTCTACCTAATCTCCCCTTTCTTCTTCCTTAGATGCTCCCAAACTGGTCTTCTTGTTACTTCTTCCAACTCTGCCTCTAGTCTCCTTTGGAATGAGTTTCTTTGATATCTAAATCCTTCCTAAATTTCAAGTTTGACTTCCTCCCAATCCCAGCTTTGCTCTAGCTCTGGTTGTGCTTTCAGTTACAGTGGGTGACACGCACAACAATAGGCTGTGTCTTTTGCTGATAATCTCCTTTCTTAGTATCCTCAACTAATTTATGAACTACTTAAAGGGACACATCCCACTGCTTTTGTATCCCTTACTTTGATAAAAGTTCAACATTGTGAACCTGTGTCATCCCCTCCCAACTACGCTATCTTGCAGCATCTATCTTGTAGAGAAAAATAGCCTGAGGTCTGGTAATGAGTGTTAAGGATTACAAATATCAGAAGATGAAACCCATGAAGAATTTAAGTCCATAGGCTATAATGCAAACAGAAAAAGTGTGTATTAAAGGTGAAACCAAACTCGTAGGAGAGAAGGCTAAAGATTTTGACATAAAAAGAAATTAAAGAATTCTTTGAAATAAAAAACTATTTAAAAAGGATAAATACAATACATATAAAAGAACAAAATGTGCCTTTCAACATTATTGGTCATTAATTTTAACAACTAGGCCTCAGTGGAGCACTCATGTACAGTATTCTAAATCTTTGAGTTTAAAACACTGGGAATTTATTTGATATAGTAATACTTATTTTACAGGCTGCTTAAGAACAATAACAAAAAAAAAAATCAGTTACTTATCTTTTCATCACCTGGCTAATAAAGTTGGAAATCTTATGCATATCCTTTTATCAAGCTCCAAAACATAATCAAGACTCATTTTCATGGGAAAAAATCCACCAAGAATATTTGTTTAAAAAAAAAAAAATCTATTTTGGTTACATCATCAAATCGTATTTTAACAATATGGGCAAAATACAGGATGCATAAACCTTGAATGTATAAACATCAAAAACTACACTTATTTTCAAGACAAGTAAAAATATTACCTGTGAGTCTAAACTAAAAAAAACAAGTCATAAATGTCTTTTACCTAAGTAAAGCTAAAAGACCTAAAGAATATTAATTCTTCACTCCCCTTTCTTTTCTCTCATGTGTTTATAGACTCTCTCAGCTTCTCACCTCACTAGGCAGAAGGATGGAGAATCGTTGTCTTCATTTCTAACAATGAAAAATTATAGAAACCTAACAAGTAAAAAGGAATCACTAAACGTAAATATCAGCTCTCAATTACATGGAGAGAAAGTGATGACACATGACACCAAAAAACCTTTTTTCTTGAACACACAGCATTAATTTGAGAGAAAATTCCCCTTATGCTTCACTGTTAAGAGTTTATTTTTCCTGAATATTCGATGATTTAGAGGATTCAGACAAAAGGGGGGAGTGTTAATACACAAGCATACAGGTGGATAAAGGTAGCCAGCCTGCAAAATACAGGATGCATAAACCTTGAATGTATAAACATCAAAAACTACACTTATTTTCAAGACAAGTAAAAATATTACCTGTGAGTCTAAACTAAAAAAAACAAGTCATAAATGTCTTTTACCTAAGTAAAGCTAAAAGACCTAAAGAATATTAATTCTTCACTCCCCTTTCTTTTCTCTCATGTGTTTATAGACTCTCTCAGCTTCTCACCTCACTAGGCAGAAGGATGGAGAATCGTTGTCTTCATTTCTAACAATGAAAAATTATAGAAACCTAACAAGTAAAAAGGAATCACTAAACGTAAATATCAGCTCTCAATTACATGGAGAGAAAGTGATGACACATGACACCAAAAAACCTTTTTTCTTGAACACACAGCATTAATTTGAGAGAAAATTCCCCTTATGCTTCACTGTTAAGAGTTTATTTTTCCTGAATATTCGATGATTTAGAGGATTCAGACAAAAGGGGGGGAGTGTTAATACACAAGCATACAGGTGGATAAAGGTAGCCAGCCTGGCTGGGATACAAACTTTCCATTTAATGCACACACAGGAAACCGAGAATTGATTATGAAGGCAAAGAAAAAAACACAGAAAAACTTAATGGGGGAATACTAACATTTTAAAATATAAAATTTAAGCAAAAATGTTTTTTTTCCTGTCACTTCATCATCTCTTCTTCCCACTAATGGGTGTTGTCAGTGACAGCAAGAGCTGCAAATGGGCTAAAAAAAATGCTAAAAACAAAATCTCATGTTTACATTTTATAAAAGGCATGTCAGAATGTTTATCGTTGCTTTCTGTCAGGCCTGCCTTCTGTCTCCGTGGTAATTTATCTCATTACTTGTGAAAAATCAATTCAAATAAAATGTTGAGAAGGCAGGGCCTCATCCTTCTTGAACATTTTTAGGTGACTTAAAACTTACTAGATGGCAAGAATTACACACTTTGACAAATACAAAAACTAAGTATTTATCCAAACACAAGAACTAAGCCACAAATCTCAATTTGTTTCTCCCTGACATATGGTTCAAACTCTTCAGTGGCATATGTTCAGTACTAGTGCTGGTAAAAGCACAGATGAAAATATTATAGACAAAGTTCAACGGTTATTTCATTCTCACACTTGATCTTAGCCACAGACGGAGAAAAAATATTTCTTTTTTATGATACAGAAAAACACGCATCAACTTGGGTTTCAAGAACTAAAATAGCAGACCACAGGAAGCAATATAACCGTGCGGCTCTGTGTGTTTAAAGTCTACCGTGAACACACGAGGGTTAAACTACAAAAGGGAAAATCCTGTCAGCCAGTTAGTCTTAGTTAATGGTCAGACACATAGGTGTCCAAGGAACTTACATACAGACTCACACGCACAAATCTCTCACATGATCCCGAGCACCCCCAGCAACCAGCAAAGTCTCCCACCCCCAAACACCCCAAAGCTTTTAAAGGAAGCAGTTGAATCAAACCTCGATCACCGAGCACCCTCGTTGGAGCAGCAGTGCGGGCGATCTGACGCCGAAATTATTTGCTCAATTTTCTTTTACCTAGCTCACGACCCTCTCTTCCAGAGCCGTGTGGGAAGTTCAACCCTGCAGGTTGTTAACACAGGGCGAGGACTGCAGCCTCCAGTCCACCTCCCGACCAAACAGGTGGCCAAGTTACCGGGGAAAGGAGCCGCCAGGTACCGGCAGCTGCCAACCCGGACCAAACCCCGAAGGGCGTGTTTTTCAGGCTTTAACCCCAGGTGCGCGGGGTGAGGTTCCCGGCGGTAAGGATCGAGGCTGCGGCCCGCCGCCGCTGAGGGCGTAGGTCCTTCCCCGGCCGCCGAGCGTCGGAGGCGGAGGGTGCCCGGCCGCGCCAGCGCCACGCAGGTGCGCTAAGGTCCGGCCAGCCCCGGCCGCCGCCCCTCGGCAGCCCGCGTAGGCGCGAAGCAGGACCCCCGACGCCACCCTGGCCAGCAGCCTCAGCCTAACGGTCCCCACGACGCCGGCTCCGAGGCGGCCCCGCCGGCTCTCACCTCCGAGTCCCGCCGCTCTGAGGCGGAGGAAGGCGGGTGTCCCTGGCGTCTCTTCGCGGTTCCCGGTCGCCTTCTGCCCCCTCCGCGGCGGAGCCAGTTCCCGGGTCCGCCGCGGCCGCTGATAGGGTTGTTTCCCGGCAGTGACGGCGCCGCCTCAGCCCCGCTCCTCGCTCCCTCTCCGCGTAGCTCCCGCTTTCTGTTTCACCCGAGGGACCGCGAACGCCGCCGCCGCCATGATTACTACGGAGTCGGGAGGAGGAGCCGTGAGGCGGCGCCCAGTGCGGCTGCGCGAGCCCGGCCGACGGCGCCCCCGTCTGTGGGAACCCGGTGTCCCCGCGCGCTCCCGGCGCCCCTCGTCTCCCGCTCACTGGCTACCAGGCGGGCGGCAGGCGAATGCCGCGCACGGCTCCTGAGGCATCCGCAGCCTGCAGGCCCGCTCTCCCGACGCGGGCTGTCCCACAGCCCCCGAGTCCCGCCGCCGACTGACGTGCCCCCGGCCACACACGCAGTTCCCCAGGCGTCCAGAAAGCTCCCCCGAGGAGCACCGTGGCCGCCCCCCTCCGAGAGCCCGGGACGCCTAGCCGCAGGTGCTTCTAGAGGCCGTCTTAGGACCGGGAAGCCGCGGAGTGCTCGCGGGCGGCTCCACTCCCCGGCATGAGGAGCCAGAGGCCGTCTAGCACCCGCCCCCCAAAAAGATTCACTGGAGTCCAAAGCTGAGGGGCGAGTTAGTCTGTTAGTCCCCTACCAGCCAAACTCGGTACCTTAATTTCTACCACAGCATGGAGACTGGAGCGAGCACAGCCGCGATGTCCCTGCGCCTCGATCAATGGGGGACACTGCAGCTGCGCCTCGGGCTGACGGGCCGTGTCACCGGAAGGCTGGTTCCCAGGGTCCTTTCTGGAACCCGAGTTCACAGCTGGTGACGAATGTCACCAGGCTCCACGTCTGACTTGTTCATTTCAGGTTATTAACTCTGTGCTGCGTTTTAAGGTGGCAATCTTTGTAAGTTGTTTGACAGAAATCTCTTGAAAATGGACGTTTTAAAGAAGACAATAACTAAAGGAAGCCTTTGTGGATAACAGCGTCAATGTTGATGCCCAGACCACACACTGAAGTCCAAGGGATTGCAGTGTGTATGTGTGTGTGTGTGTGTAAAATCCCTACTTGGGTGCTGCTTTGGGAGATATTCTCATCACTTTTTATCTCTCATCTACCTCTATATCCACTTCAACTCGTTCTCTTTCTTTTCTGTTTTTCTATTGTTGTTTTCTTATGTCCCCTTTCTTCTTTTCCTGCTGCTTTTCTTTACGGTTCCAGGCGATAACTGACCCTATCTTTATAGCCACAACCAGCTAAGAACTTCTTTTTTCTTCCCTTCAGTAAATAGGACAGTGATTCTATATCAAATGATATCTTCAATAAAGTCCTTTCTTGGTGAGAAATGTTTAGTTTTCTTAACTTCCAGCTTTGGCCCTCTCCCAGAAAAATTTTTTGGAAAGCTGATCTTGGAATAGCGGAAGTATAACCGCTTATTGTTTTACAATATGAGACTTTATCCGTGTGTGGTGGAGTTGTTTGGCTTCTCCATATTGCTGCCCAGCTCTTGCTTGTTTTGAGGCTAAGCTAGTCATTTCAAACAACTTACTTCCCAAAGCTTCTGACTAGTGAACTTCATAAAATGCAGAATTCTACATTCTACCCGTTCAAGAGTCTCATTCCTTTGTTCAAGGGGAAGTCAAGAAATAGCATTAAAAATAAGCTATTGGGACTGGAGAGGTGAGTCAGTGGTTAAGAGCACTGATTGCTCTTGCAGAGGACCCGAGTTCAGTTCCCAGCACCCACATGATGGTTAACAACCACTCTCTGATGGCTAATCATGGGTGTCAATTTGACTGTATCTGGGATTAACTGAAATGAGAGATCTTGATTGGATCCTCTGAAGCTGGAAGACCCACCCTAAATGTGGGTGTTACCTTCTGATGGCCTCCCGTATTAAAGGCCATGGCAGAGGAGAACGCTTGCTTTTTGCCGCTTGCATTCTCTCTGGGTGGTGAGTTCCTCTTGCTGCTGTAGACTGAAGACTAGCAGATCTTTTGGAATTCATCAGACCTTCAGCGCCAGATTGGGCCACTACTGAGCCATCCAGCCTCGTGGACTGAGCGACTACGGATTCTCAGCCTCTCCAGTGTGGTGCAGCTGTTGTTGGACTACTCGGACTCTATCCTGTGAGCTAAGCTGATAAATCTATCTATATATATGTATACATATATATATATATATTCATTCTACCGATTCTGTTTCTTTAGAGAACCCTGACTAATACACACCCGTAACTCCAGTTCCAGGGGAATTCATGACCTTCTTCTCTCCTCCATAGGCATTGCATGACACTGATGCACTTACATACATGCAGACAGTACACTCATACACATAAAAAATAAAAATAATAAAATATTTAGAAATAATAAAAATAAGCTATGCTTATTAAATATATGTTTAAAGCCCACCTTACATGCCATAAGCAAAGCAAGAAATAGCAGCTATGCTGAAAGAAGAGAAGGCATATAACTCAAGACTGTTTGAAAGAAGACCTGGACATTTTGGTATGATACTCAGCTCTGCGAGGTGGAATCAGGTGAAGATTGGAGGATTTATATTCTGTGGAAAGAGAGAAGCACACATATGAATGACCCTAGGCTGGGCCCTAATATGAGTTCTCTGAGAACACAGAAAGGCACAAGAATTTATGTTGACTTTCAACAAGTCATTTCTCAATGCTTTATTTTCCTTGTCATTAAAATAAGGACCATTTTCAACCAACATCTTTCTTGAGCTCTCAGTGATACTCAACACCTTGATCACTGTTCTTTAATTTTTCTTCTTCAGTTGGCACTACATTTTCTTAGCTTTCTCCTATTTCTCTGGGCACAGCTTCTCCAGTCCCTTTGAGGGTGGTGTGAGCCTTTAATCCCAGTCCTCTGGAGTCAGGCAGGTGGATCTCTGCAAGATCAAGGCCACTCTGGTCTTTACCGTGACTTCCAGGTGGGCTGGGACTAGGGAGACCCTTTGAAAACAACAGCAACAACAAAACAAAACAACAACAAAACCAATCCCTGTGCAGTTTCCTGCTCTTCTCTCTGCAAAGTAAGTATTAAAAAACTTCAATATTTAGCAGTTGTTTGTGTGTGTGGTTGGATGTTCACCTGTGAGCATGTTCACGTGTGGTGTGTGCATTTATGTGTGTGGCGGTCAGAGGTCAATATCAGGTGCCTTGTGTGTCTTCCTCCATCACTTTCCATCCTATTTTTTGAGACAAGGTCTCTCACTGAACCTGGAGCTCACTGACTCAGCAAAACCAGCTGACCAGCAAACCCCAGGGATCCTTCTGACTGCTTCCCCAATGCTGGATTTACAGGTGCCACTTGTACCCACTTTTTACATGGGTGATGGTGATTTGAACTCAGGTCCTCATACTTATGCAACAAGTGCTTTACCAACTAAGCCATCTCCACAGTCCCCAAAATTCTGTTTTAAGTTACTTTCTGTTTCCGTTATAGTCTTTTAGCCTATGAAGTATCACCTAACCCATATGTTAGATTTCACTTGTATTTTTGATATTCTCCACATGTCTCTGGTTCAGTCTCTTCACCTAAATTCCATACTCTCATCAGTTGCTTTACTGACTGACATGTTCACTTAATGTCTCAGATTTGCAAAATTTAGACCAAGTTGATGCTTTCATTTTTTCTGATCTGTTCAGTTCTTCAAATCAAACATCTAATAATTACCCATGATGTTTCCCTCACTTTCATCTCCCATGTCTGTTGCAGCACCAACTCCAGGAACTGTTTTCTCCAAAAATCTCTCTAATGAGTCTACTTGTTTCCTGTCACCACAATCTGATTTGGTCTAACTGCATATAATCTGTGTCCTGCCATGTAATCTCCACTTTGCAGCCAAAGTCATCTTTCAAAAAGCAAGTAAGGAGCTGGAGAAATGGCTTAGCAGTTAAAAGCACTGACTGCTCTTCCAGGAGACCCAGGTTCGGTTCCCAGCACCAACATGGCAGCTCACAACCATCCTTTACTTGAGTTCCAGAGACTCCAATGCCCTCTATTGTCTCTACAGGGATTGCACAACACTGGTGTAGTTAGATGCCTGTAGGCAAAACACTCATTCACATAAAAATATAAATAAACGCAAATAAGGCTAATGTCACCTCTTACATAGCACCTTCAAAAGGCTTCTCATTATTGTAGAGTTCTTAAAGTGGTCTATAAAACCATATGGGGTTTAGAGCCGCCTGCCTCTCTCGGTTTCATCTCATATCACTCTCCTCTTGTATCCTGGTCCAAGACGTCCTGACCTTTTAGTTTCTCAGATGTAATCTGATCCCAATTGGTGTATACTTTCTATACCTGCCCTTCTCCCTTTTATTCATCTTTAATTTTTTTATTTATTCATTTTTTACTTTACATCTATGAATGTCTTGCCTACATGTATATATGTACACCATGTGTGTGCATTGCCTGTGGAGGCCAGAAGATGGTGTTGGACCCCCGAAACTGGAGTTATAGACTATTGTTAGTTCCCACATAGATGCTAGAAACAGAGCCCAGGTCCTCTGGAAAACAAACAGCAAGTGTTCTTAACTACTGAGACATCTTCCCAGTTCCATCGCCCCCATCCTTTTTACCATCTTATTGCCTATTCATCCTTCAGGGCTTGGTTTGCATGGGACTCATGGAAAAAAAAATTCTGACCTTCCAGACAAGTTCAAGATCCTGGATTAATGCCATAGTTTATACATTTTAGTATGTGCTCCCTCCATGAGAACAAAGATTGTGTCTATTTTGGCTTGTGTAGCATCTGGCATTTAGAAAGTGCTCAATACATTTCTTGAATGATTGTTATCCTTTGAGGTTCTTTCCAACAATCTAGAAGGTTGTTGGCTTGTGAAACCAGGAAATGATTGGTTTTTTTAAAACATTATAAAAATATAAAAGTCTCATATGTTGGTATGCCTTATGACCAGAGGCATCAACAGCTTTTGTTCTAGACTGTCTTTTCAAGGATATTTCCTTGACAGACAGGAATGTAAAAGAGATATACTGTCCCCTGTCAAAGCAGAGGGCACATTTGTTTATGATCAAATATAATAAAGACTTTCTTTGGAGTCAAGGTCTAACAAGTTTTCTTGCAGCCCCCATATCCTAAAAAATAGGGAGTTTCCTAAACAGGGTGTCTTAGCTGTA